CAAGGAATTTCAGAATGAGGTGGAGAATCAACGTGACCGAAAGATAAAGTTCCTATGATCAGATCGTGGAGGAGAATACTTAAGTCACGAATTTGGTACACACTTAAGGAAATGTGGAATCGTTTCACAACTCACGCCGCCTGGAACACCTCAGCGAAACGGTGTGTCCGAACGTCGTAATCGCACTCTATTGGATATGGTGCGGTCTATGATGTCTCTTACCGATTTACCGCTATCATTTTGGGGATACGCTCTAGAGACAGCTACATTCACTTTAAATAGGGCACCGTTAAAATCCGTTGAGACGACACCGTATGAATTATGATTTGGGAAGAAACCTAAGCTGTCGTTTCTGAAAGTTTGGGGATGCGATGCTTATGTCAAGAAACTTCAACCTGAGAAGCTCGAACCCAAGTCGGAAAAATGCGTCTTCATAGGATACCCTAAGGAAACTGTAGGTATACCTTCTACTTAAGATCCGAGGGCAAGATCTTCGTTGCCAAGAATGGATGCTTTCTGGAAAAAGAATTTCTCTCGAAAGAAGTAAGTGGGAGGAAAGTAGAACTCGATGAAGTACTACCTCTCAAACGGGAAAGTGGTGCAGCTCAGGAAAATGTTCCTGTGATGCCCACACCAACTGAAGAGGAAACCAATGATGATGATCAAGGTACTTCGGATCAAGTTGCTACTGAACTTCGTAGGTCCACAAGGACACGTTCCGCACCAGAGTGGTACGGCAACCCTGTCCTGGAAATCATGTTGTTAGACAACGGTGAACCTTCGAACTATGAAGAAGCGATGGCGGGCCCAGATTCCAACAAATGGCTAGAAGCCATGAAATCCGAGATAGAATCCATGTATGAAAACAAAGTATGGACTTTGACTGACTTGCCCGATGATCGGCGAGCGATAGAAAACAAATGGATCTTTAAGAAGAAGACGGACGCGGATGGTAATGTCACCATCTATAAAGCTCGACTTGTCGCTAAGGGTTATCGACAAGTTCAAGGGATTGACTACGACGAGACATTCTCTCCCGTAGCGAAGCTTAAGTCCGTCCGAATCATATTAGCAATTGCCGCATACTATGATTATGAGATATGGCAGATGGACGTCAAAACAGCATTCCTTAACGGGCATCTTAAGGAAGAGCTGTATATGATGCAGCCGGAAGGTTTTGTCGATCCTAAGAACGCTAACAAAGTATGCAAGCTCCAGCGATCCATTTATGGGCTGGTGCAAGCATCTCGGAGTTGGAATATTCGCTTTGATGAGATGATCAAAGCGTTTGGGTTTATGCAGACTTATGGAGAAGCCTGCGTTTACAAGAAAGTGAGTGGGAGCTCTGTAGCATTTCTCATATTATATGTGGATGACATACTCTTGATGGGAAATAATATAGAATTTCTGGACAGCATTAAGGCCTACTTGAACAAATGTTTTTCAATGAAGGACCTTGGAGAAGCTGCTTATATATTAGGCATCAAGATCTATAGAGATAGATCGAGACACCTCATAGGTCTTTCACAAAGCACATACCTTGATAAGATTTTGAAAAAGTTCAAAATGGATGAGTCCAAGAAAGGGTTCTTGCCTATGTTACAAGGTGTGAGATTGAGCTCAGCTCAGTCACCGACCACGGCAAAAGATAAAGAAGAGATGAGTGTCATCCCCTATGCTTCAGCCATAGGATCTATTATGTATGCCATGCTGTGTACCAGACCTGATGTAAACCTTGCCGTAAGTTTGGTAGAAAGATACCAGAGTAATCCCGGCAAAGAACACTGGACATCGGTCAAGAATATCCTGAAGTACCTGAAAAGGACAAAGGACATGTTTCTCGTTTATGGAGGTGACGAAGAGCTCGTCGTAAAGGGTTACGTCGACGCTAGCTTCGACACAGATCTGGATGACTCTAAGTCACAAACCGGATACATGTATATGTTGAATGGTGGAGCAATAAGCTGGTGCAGCTGCAAGCATAGCGTCGTGGCAGGATCTACATGTGAAGTGGAGTACATGGCAGCCTCGGAGGCAGCACATGAAGCTATTTGAGTGAAGGAGTTCATCACCGACCTAGGAGTCATACCCAATGCATCGGGGCCAATCAAACTCTTCTGTGACAACACTGGAGCTATTGCCCTTGCCAAGGAGCCCAGGTTTCACAAGAAGACCAGGCACATCAAGCGTCGTTTCAACTCCATCCGTGAAAATGTTCAAGATGGAGACATAGAAATTTGCAAAGTACATACGGATCTGAATGTCGCACATGCGTTGACTAAACCTCTCTCGCGAGCAAAACATGATCAACACCAGAACTCTATGGGTGTTCGATTCATCACAATGTAACTAGATTAGTGACTCTAGTGCAAGTGGGAGACTGTTGGAAATATGCCCTAGAGGCAATAATAAAAGTGTTATTATTATATTTCTTTGTTCATGATAATAGTCTTTTATTCATGCTATAACTGTATTATCCGGAAATCGTAATACACGTGTGAATACATAGACCACAATATGTCCCTAGTAAGCCTCTAGTTGACTAGCTCATTGTGATCAACAGATAGTCATGGTTTCCTGGCTATGGACATTGGATGTCGTTGATAACGGGATCACATCATTAGGAGAATGATGTGATGGACAAGACCCAATCCTAAGCATAGCACAAAGATCGTGTAGTTCGTTTGCTAGAGCTTTTCCAATGTCAAGTATCTCTTCCTTCGACCATGAGATCGTGTAACTCCTGGATACCGTAGGAATGCTTTGGGTGTATCAAACGTCACAACATAACTGGGTGACTATAAAGGTGCACTACAGGTATCTCCGAAATTGTCTATTGGGTTGACACGGATCGAGACTGGGATTTGTCACTCCGTATGACGGAGAGGTATCTCTGGGCCCACTCGGTAATGCATCATCATAATGAGCTCAAGGTGACCAAGGTGTTGGCCACGGGATCATGCATTACGGTACGAGTAAAGTGACTTGCCAGTAACGAGACTGAACAAGGTATTGGGATACCGACGATCGAGTCTCGGGCAAGTAACGTACCGATTGACAAAGGGAATTGTATACGGGGTTTGATCGAATCCTCGATATCGTGGTTCATCCGATGACTTCATCGAGGAGCATGTGGGAGCCAACATGGGTATCCAGATCCCGCTGTTGGTTATTGACCGGAGAGTCTCGGTCATGTCTGCATGTCTCCCGAACCCGTAGGGTCTACACACTTAAGGTTCGGTGACGCTAGGGTTATCAGGAAGACAAGTATGTGATTACCGAATGTTGTTCGGAGTCCCGGATGAGATCCCGGACATCACGAGGAGTTCCGGAATGGTCCGGAGGTAAAGTTTTATATATGTGAAGTTGTTAAACGGGCACCGGAAAGTTTCGGGGTCAGACCGGTATTGTACCGGGACCACCGGAAAGGTTCCGGGGGTCCACAGGGAGGGACCACCCCTCCCGGGGGGGCACTTGGGCTGCGTAGGGATAGCAGCCAGCCCCTAGTGGGCTTGGCGCGCCCCCCCCCCTTGGGCTCATGCGCCTAGGGTTGGGGGGAAACCCTAAAGGGGGCGCACCCCCCTTGCTTGGGGGGCAAGCCCCCCACCCCTTGGCCGCCGCCCCCCCTAGGGTTTTCCCTAGAGGGCCGGCCCCCCTTGCCCCTTCCCCTATATATAGAGGGGTGTTGGGAGGGCTGCAACACACCACAACTCAAGGCGCAGCCCCTCCCCTCCCCAACACCTCTCCTCCTCCGTACGTGCTTGGCGAAGCTCTGTCGGAGTACTGCTGCACCAACTACACCACGCCGTCATGCTGCCGTTGGAGCTGCCTTCCTCAACCTCTCCTTCCTCCTTGCTGGATCAAGACGGAGGAGATGTCTCCCGTCCCGTACGTGTGTTGAACGCGGAGGTGCTGTCTGTTCAGCACTTGGACATCGGTGATCCGAATCACGTTCGAGTACGACTCCATCATCACCATCCCCTTGACAAGCTTCCGCTCGTGATCTACAAGTGGTATGTAGATGCAAACTCTTCCCCTTGACTCGTTGCTTAGATGAACTCATAGATGGATCTTGGTGAAACCGTAAGAAAAATTTTAATTTTCTGCAACGTTCCCCAACACATCCAGTATTGTGAGCTAATTTGAGTCCCTCAAGTAGGCCGCTGCCTCGGCTGAGACGACATCAGCTACACGTTCCAACCTTTCCATTGAAGCTCTTATGAAAATTCCTTTGCGATCATCGATAACTGCTCCACATGCAACGTTATATTCGCCCTCTGAAAAAGATGCACCGACATTCAACACCTGCTGTCCTGCATGGAAAACCGGCCACTTTTTGATTTTTGGAATGACCTTGCTTGTCCCTGTTGCACGAACATAGTTAAGGGCCAACGCAATAACAACATGAGCTATTTTTTCTGTAGTTTGTACATCCTCGCCTCTCTGACTAGCTGTCTTCTTTGCCACCAAAGATATCAACAAACAGTATATTCTGGTAATTTGACTGGTCCAGTGTATGTTCGCTGGTACGAATCGTCACACAATATAAACTCCAGCATAGCTGCTCCTAGTTGATTGCAAGCCTGGACTTTTTCTTTTGACGGGGATTGAAAGCCCGGGCTTACTTTACGGCCAACCAAAAAAAAAACCAAAGATTCAAAGAATGGAACCTACATAGCCATCCCATCCCAATTCAACGAACAGATATGGATTAGCTGACATGGGCCGTGCCGAAACGAGCCGAACGCATTAACACCGAGCTTACCATCCGTCCGATATCTATCCAACGCACTAAAATCCGTCCTCTGACGTGTAGCGAGCCGCGTCGGATCGGAAGCTAATATCCAGCAACCCGCGGGGTCCTGTCTGCAAAAAGGAGTCGAAAAAACGCGGACCTTCTTTCCGTTCCAGTCCTCGCAACCGTGAGTTCTCCGCCGCCCCCTCCCCTCGGAAGAAACGTCGCCGGGAGAGAGATCCCCGCCGAGAGCCAGCCGGGCGAGATGGGGTTCATCGGCGACCAGGTGGAGTCGATCCGGTCGATGCAGGTCCGCCAGGTCGTCACGCAGATCATCAGCCTCGGTGACGCCTCTTTTGCTCTCCCATCTCTTCTTCGTCTCCGCGTACTTGATAGATGTATTTTCGGTTGTATCGCGGCGGAATTCACGGTTAGGGGTTTTACCCTGTGGACCAGTTTGGGTTTTGATCTGAAAGGCGCGGTTCTGTCGTGTTTTCGCGTGCCAGATTGCGGCAGAGAGGATCTGAAGAAAATAGCAATTTGGGGCATTAAGGCTTTTGGGGTTCTTGATCTGGCCCTAAGAGCTTTTTGGAGTTGTTTTCTTGGAAGAATCATACGCACTGAAATGTACACGAGCCACTCCATTGGACTGACAGCCTTAGAGGACTATACTGGGATTTTCGGCCGTGTTGTTTTTACCCTACTACTACTAGCGATATTGCTCCTTGCTTCTGAAAATCAGTTTATAGATTCGTGGTATATAGGGAAAGAGGGGAGCATGGCACCTTACTTGTTAGTTATTTTGGGGTTTTGCTGCTCTTAGATATTGGTAATTGTTGGTTGCAACAATGTTCTCACAGAGGAAGTCATGATTTTTTCCCCATGGCAGGTATGATTGTTACCTCAGCATTGATCATATGGAAGGGATTGATGGTCGCGACAGGGAGCGAATCGCCAGTTGTGGTGGTTCTTTCTGGTAGCATGGAGCCTGGATTTAAAAGGGTTTGTTGCCTACTTATGCAGTGCGAGAACCCCTTAAATTTTGTATATGCATCTGATTATTAGATTCTTGAGGGCCATTTTAGATACCCTCTAATTCGACTTTATCCTCTGGGTTAGACAGGAATTTTGATAAAATACTTTCTAAGTGAACGGACAGAGTCGAATTAGAGGGTGCCCAAGCACACCCGCAAGTGGACATACACATTTGTTTTTGTAATTTGAAGTTAATATTTGACCAATATGAAATCCCAAAATTGCATGTGCAACACATAAAGTGGATTATTCCCATGATTTACTCATATGAATAAGAATATAATTGGCCTCCATTGGGTTGTAAGTGAAGGACTGTCCTATCGCCTTTAAGATCTTGTTCTAATTCATCCAAGATTCCTTTTGAGATTACTGTTACCACCATGCCATGTTCTCAGTTTTCTGTTTTTATTCCAGTGCCATTTTTGCGTTCTGTAGGCTAAAATGGGTGTTATCATTTGCATAGTGTCCCTGTATCATTAATTATCTGTTTTGCAGGGTGATATTCTGTTTTTGCACATGAGCAAAGAACCTATCCGCACTGGAGAAATAGTTGTTTTTAATATTGATGTAAGTACTCAATTATTGTACTTTGTAAGCCGTAAATTATTAGCTGGGTCATGAACCCATGATTTTGTCCTATATTTCATTGTGTGTGCTTGTATTTGATGTTCAAGACACTAAGATTACATCTGGACATTTATTTATGCAGGGCCGTGAAATTCCAATTGTCCACCGTGTGATCAAGGTAATAAAATTGTGAAGTCATGTGATCAATCACCATATATATGCATATTAGACGTGCAAGTTTTTTCATGCTAGTTTTGAGTTTACTTTTCTCAATGTATAGGTTCATGAACGGCAAGAAAGTGGAGAAGTTGACATCCTCACAAAAGGTATCTGTCATTTTCTGTTTGAATGCCATAGGTTTTTCTTCAGTGATATGCTGACTATCCAAGTAGTTTTTGCAATCCCGGCAATAATAGTCAACAGCTAGCAATTTATAATTTACATTGGGTGCCACTGCGCTGTTGTATCTCAAGTGACAAACTGCCTTTTCAGGCGATAATAATTTTGGGGATGACCGACTTCTGTATGCACAAGGGCAGCTTTGGCTTCAGAAGCATCACATTATGGGGCGGGCTGTAGGGTGAGTGCCTAGAAAATTTGTATCACATTCACATTTCTGCCTTCATACTGGTATAAAATAATTCAGCTGGCATTACCCTTTTGTTACATGAACAGCTATCTACCATATGTTGGGTGGGTTACGATTGTGATGACTGAGAAGCCGATCATTAAGGTATGTTTATTCCTTTTAAGTACTGACCAGCCTACTCCTGAGTTTGAAGCACTGATGAAATGCTAATATGTGATGCCTGTTGCTGCAGTACCTTCTGATTGGTGCACTGGGCCTTCTTGTCATAACATCAAAAGAGTGAAGCTGTCAACCTTAGCACATAGCTTGATCTTGTAGTGCAAATGTAATCCAGGGCAGACCAAGTTTTTTTGCACCGTGTACCGAATGGAAGATGTATTTTTATCTGTTTTGACTGTTGCCTCTGCCCTAAAGAAGCCTAAACCCGTCTCTTATGCAACAGTCATCTTCTCATGGTCTTAACTAATGATTTTGATCTTTATATTGCATTGGGTGCAACAGTTGATATTTTCAGGAAAAGGAAAATCAAATTCGTCGATGGCAGGAGGCGTTCTGTTAGGTCAAACCCGCTGTGGTTTGCTGCAATCTGGTTGTTCCTATTTTTGATTGAGCCTAGAGTTTGGGAATTGGAACTGGAACTTGTAAATATGTGCTACATGCACAAATCTACAGTTTGATCTATGCTGGCAAGTAACTTGCAAACTATTGCTGCCATCTCCTGGATGGAAATGTACTGTTTCAGATGGATTTGATAACCAGCGAGCGTTCTCTGAGGAGCTTGGAAATTATAACTTTTTCATGGCAATTTATATTGTCTGAGGGATGGCAATTTTTTTAGCAAGCATGGCAAATCTGTCCAATTCAGTTTTTTGCCAGGATTTGCTGTGCTTGCTAAATGAATTTGCCATGCTCTCCCAACACAATAACGTTGTCATGCCTCGCTGGACTTTTGAAATTGCATGCTGATCAGGAGGATATAATAAATCTGCACTCAGCTCGTCCAGTCCCGGAAGCTGGCTAGCTAGCATTAGCAGCGATCGACGGATATGACGGGTAGAGCGGATACTGTGTGGATGACGACGGGCAACACACGTCTCGCGTGCGATGCACGGCTCCGGTGGGCAAATTTTCGTGTTTTGAAACTTATTCAAGATTTGACCCTAGTTTGAAAAAAATTCGAGATCTGACCCTTTTACTATCGCCAGAGTCCATGGCGGTAGGGTCTAACAGCCTATCGCCAGGGACTTTGGCGGTAGGAAACATCGCTACCGCCAAACCAGGCTGGCGGTAGCCTGCACAACCCTACCACCAATGTGCTTGGCAGTAGGCACGAGCATGCATTGTGGTCAATACTTAGAAGGTTTTTGGCGGTAGGGCATGCAACCCTACCGCCAGGGACCTTAGTGGTAGGCTGTTATACCCTACCGCCAAGGTCCCTGGCGATAGCAAAAGGGTCAGATCTCGATTTTTTTTCAAACTAGGGTCAAATCTCGAATAGGTTTCAGAAAAGGGTCAAAACACGAAATTTAGCCGCTCCGGTGCGAGTTGGTCCCCGATCTAGGGGCATCCCTGCTGGAATTCCGGCGAGTTCGTCCCCGATCTAGGGGCATCGCTGCTGGAATTCCGGCGAGTTCGTCCCCGATCTAGGGGCATTGCTGCTGGAATTCCGGCTGGGTTTTCTCCTCTGGCGAGGAAGGCGGCTGGTCCTCCTCAACCCGAGGACGTGACAGTGGACGCGCGCGGCTGGCGTGATGACGCGGGTTTTGCCCCTGGCCAAGCTGTGCAGTTCCCGTGTCATATTGCAAAAGTTGCAGCGCATGGAGGGCGGCTTGGTCACGTTGCGAGCCCCGAGGTGAGTAATGCGGCCGAGGGGAGCGGAGGGGATATTTTAGTCCCCCGACTGCCCCGACTCCTCGCATTTCTCCTCCTTGCACACCGCACGACCCGCTCTCTCTCGCTCCGCTCTCCCCCGCTCTGCCACGCCGTGAGCTAGGGTTTCATGATGACCCGCGAGCAGCAGATGTGGGCGTTCGCCGACGGTGACGAGGTGCGGATGGGAAGGCTGAGGAAGATCAACAGGTGGTTTCCGAAGGCGAAGATGCTCAACGACGCTATGGAGATGGCGCGCGACAAGCTGAACGAAGAAGAGATCCAGCGTTGCTTCCCCAACTACAACAGGCAGCCAGCGATGGGGGTTCTGCTTTGGGCAATGCTCAAGGCGGAATCCCCGATCCAGGAGCAGAGGCACAAGTGGAGGGTCTTTAGATCCCTTCGCTACAGTCAGATCCAGCCGTCGCCGCCGCCGATGGAGGTGGTGATGGGGCTGCCTGCACCACGCTCATGGATGGCGTCGATTGTGATAGAGGAAGACGACGAGGAGATGGTGACACCAAGGAGGAAGCAGAAGAGGGCGGTCACAGAGCTGCCAAGGCGTTCTCCATGCTTCCCCAGGCGTTCTCCGCGCCTTCGTGCCCTTTCCCGCCTCTAGTAGGGGCCTCGCCGGCCGACAACCGCTTCTGGCTGTTGGCCGGGGAGGTTTCCAACGAGGAGGGGGAGGGGGTGTCTTCTCCAACTTCGTCAGGTATGTGTGGATCGAAATACCTGACCTCTACTACGTCGATTGATGTAGATGAGGTTATTTTGGGGAGATTGGGAAGAGCAGAGAGGAATGGAAAAAAGGAAAAGCATATAAGAAAAATTCACAAACTCCAAAATGATGAAAATGGAGGAAAAGAGAATAGAGAAAAGGGAAAGGTTGATATAAATAACAAAAAAACACAGGGTGGGATTCTAGGAATAATGAAGTGGTTGAAGCCAAAACAGTTCAAATGCACATGAGGCATGGAAATTTCCAGCCCATTGTTGTATGGTAAGATGAGGAGGACCTTGACTTTGGTGAAATTTACATTAGAAATACTCCGATCATACCCCACATAAGGGGGGAGGAGAGGGATGGAAAAAGTGAGGATGAAGGAAAACAAAGGAGAGATGGATAACCAGGTTTGGTGGCCCGGTAGGTGAAAAGGTGCAAACTGACCTGGACTTGGACTTGTCCTACTGGGCTCTAGAAAGCCCAGATAAAGAGAAGGCCCAAGTCCTGGAGGAGTGGGGTGAGCCTATAAAAAGGCGGAGACATGGAGGGAGAGAGAGAGAGCACTGATCTAATTCTAGGGTTTACCCCCCAGCCGCCACGAGAGGAAGTAGAACACATGGCTGGAAACTTTGGGAGAGGTTTTGGAGGGGGGAGGACCAACAGAGGAGGAAGATTTAGTGATTCCAATGTCAGAAAAATAGGGCAATTTGGTGGAGGAGATAGAAGCAGATCCAACTCCTCTGAAAATTCCTTTGATTTTCATGGCAGAGGGGGGGAGGGCATTCGGGATTTGGGTTCAGCGTTGGAAGAGGTATTGGAAGCTCAAATGCACCCAGTGATGAATCTGGGGGGAGCAAGGTTTGGCAGATCAAAGAAGGAAGAAAAGACAGTGGGGATAGAAAGGAAGAAGTTGGGAAAGGGGAAGATGTTGGGGAAGATCAGAGAGATGGCAGAGATAAAGGAGAGGGAAGCATGAATTCTAGTTAGTAGCAACAGATCCTGAGTGCATTACTATCACAACTAGTGCAGGGAATGAACAAGAATGGGATGCTTGTGGAAGATAGTGGGAAAAATAAGTCAATGATGAGCTATGGTAAAGAAACAGTCAAAGAAACTGATGCTGGTGAGGAAAATGTGCTGAAGAGAGCAAAAGGCAATGGAAATAGCTCAGGAAATGACTTCAGGAATCAGGTGAGCAGTGGGGCTTGGCAACAAAATATGAGTGATGATAGGAGTAGAAATGATAGGTTCAATAGACAGGTATGTGGAAAATACAAACATCCCAAGCATTTACCTAGAGATTGCAAAGTGGGGCACTGCTTAATTTGTGGTAGGGATAACCACATTACCAGAGCCTGCAACTTTCTGAAACAAATGAAACCAGTACCCAAATATGTTGAATATGCTTTAAAAGGTCTAGGAGTGTTGCTGGTGTAGAGCTACAAGGCTGTCTTAATTGCAGAGCATATAAATCCTTTAGGAGTGGTGATCATTAGGAATGGGCAGATCAATGAAACTGAGCTGATAAAAGCTCTCAATGAAATGTTTGATTGGGGATGGCAATGAAGAGTAAAGGAATATGGAAAAAAAATTATATGATGAGATTCCAAAATAAAGCAAAGTTGGTGGAACTAGCAAAGTTCAATGACTTCAATCTGTTGGGGACTGGTGTCATTATAAAGGTACAACCCCGGTCTCTTGATCGTTTGGCAATTGGGAAAATGCACACTGCTTGGGTGAAATTTAAGGAAGTACCAGATTGCTTTAGACATTTTTTTTGGAATGTGTGAAGTGGCTGCTGTTGTAGGGCCTGTGTTAGAAATTGACGTGGACACTATTAATGAAGAAAAAGTGAAAGTGAAGTGTGGGGTCAGGGATATGGGGAAGATCCCTTCCCATGTGGAAATAACTTCTCCAGATTTTCTAATGTTTAGAATTGGGGCAGAGCTGGATAAGGTGACTGAGATGGGCTGGTATAAGGAGGAGAAAAGAAAATCTAATGGTGTGTCTGAAATGGAAGTTGGGGATGATGAGGAGGAAAACAGGAAAAGAGCAAAGCTAACTGGAGCTGAAAGAAGAGGGATGGCTTTGGGTAGTCTATCTCTGAAACAAATTGAGGAGATTGACAGAAAAAATGAAATGATAAAAAAATCAATAGAGGAAATCATTGGACACTTGGACAAAAGTATGGCTGCTGAAAGAGGGAACATGAAAAAAGAAATGGATATTATGTTCAGAAAAATTCAGAACTTAGAGAAAGAGAAAGCCAAAGAAAATGCTTTGTGGGACAAGGCTGATAAGAGGATAAAAATACTTGAAGAGCACACAAAAAAGTCTAGAGAACATGATTGAAAAACAAAAGGAAGATATTTTGAAGTTGGAACAGGAGGCTGCAAACAAAGAGCAATATGAGATGGAGCTGGCTAATCTAGAGGTGGAAGACTTTGAAAAATAAACCCAAGATAAGAAAGAGAAAACTGAATCTGGAAAGTATAATGAACCTACTGACTAGAATGCAAGTCAAGAATCAGTAGGGACTTTGGGAGAGAGATTGGCAGAGTTGCATGGGATGGAGGTGACAGAAAAAAATGATGAAGACAAAGAAATTGAACTGAAAAGAAGCTTGAGGAACATAGGAAAAGAAGATCAGAAAGTGGAGGAAATGGCAAAGATGAGGGCTGAAGAAAGAG